AAAAAACATAAGGGCTTAAGGCTAATCCTTGATTTAATCCAACTGAAATAGAAAAATACTTTATCAAACCATCTTGGGTTTGAACACAAGTAACAGCTCATCCATACGTATCACTAATGGCTTGAATATAATAAATATTAACCTCTTTCTTTTCTAGAACTCACCATAGCACTTCTCTTGGAATTTTATCATGTGCTTTATCTAAAACAATAAATATCACATGTAGATCATCTTTATTCTCTCAAAACTTCTCCATCAACCCTTTCAATAAATAAATAGCTTACATAGTAGACTTACCCGGCATGAATCCAAATTGATTTTGAAAAACATTAGTATCACATCATAATTTATGCTCCATAACTCTCTCCCAAAGTTTTAAGGTATCACGCATCAACTTAATTCCTTATAATTCGCACAATCATGTGCATCACATTTATTTTTTAAAAATAGAAATCAACACACTCATTATTTACTCATATGGCATATTTTTAGCCTTCACAATAATATTAAAATTTTAAGTAAGCTGAGAAATTCCTTTATCTTCAAATATTGCCACACCTCTATTGACATATCATCAAATCCAATAGTTTTTTCCAAACTTCATTTTCTTTAAAGTCTCTATAACTTCAATTTTATTAATATGTCAATACAAAATAAAAATTTTTATTTTCATTTAGAATGTCAAGATCACTAAAATCAATCATTATCCCAAAATTTTTATTAAAAAATTAACAAAATATCTCATCCACCTTTGTTGAATATCCTTTTCTAAAAAATATATATTTTTTAATCTTTATACTTAATGAACTAAAACCTTACTATTCTTATCTTTGTGATTGACAAATTTATATATATATTACGAGCCTCTATATCTTTCACAATTTTCAAAAATTTTACACCTAAATCAATTATTATAACAAATCTTTTTATTTTATCTTTTCTTGCATATTTTAATTCAACAACTAATATTAAAAGTATTTTCTTTTGAAACTCCAAGCACATTCTTTACAACATTCTTAATATTACTAATTATTTTTTTCCACATATCATTTGCTTACTCATGCACAAACAATCTTAAAATCTCAAATCTTACTCTCAAAAATATTTTTGTTAGTACTTTTTAAATACCCACATCTAATCTTAGAACAACATTTCACTATAATTTTCATATCTTGCTCATTCATTTTAAAATCTAAAACTAATAAACAATATTAAATACATAAACTTTTACTCTAAATAACTTTTACAATTTTTGCAATCTAAACGATATATTTTTCTTACAAAAAAAATAATCAATTTGAATTTTACTATATCAATTCTTATAATGATGAGATAAACACCTATTTTTTTAAATAAGATAGTAGTAATTACAAAATCATAAGTTAATGCAAATTTTAATATAATATTAATACCTTCATTAATCAATCTAAACACATAACCTGATGAGGTCATCGACAGACATTTTAGGCAGGTTTATCGGCGAAGGAATCGTAGATCGACGGCTACGATCGGGAGTTTATATTTTTGATGTTATCATGTTGTTTTATTTTGTGTATCTTTTATTTCATGTACTAGTGACGATTTCGCCCTTATGTAGGCGTAATATTTATTGTAGCCCAAGGGGCATATAAGTCTTTTGTTTTTCTTTTCATGTTTGAGACCTTTTATAAAAGGGGTCTCTTCTTGATGTAGGAGGTTGATGTTTGATTAATGAAATTTTTCTGAAATTTTCTTTCGTCTTCTTGCTTGAGAGCTCGAGAGAAAGGAGAGAGGAGACCAAGGAGAGGCTCCGCCAGCAATACCCAACAGCCCGCCCAGCGAGCTCTTGGTTTTACCTTGTGAATTCACTGTTTCTTCCTCCCCACAAATCCCTCCACAGAGCCGCCCATTCCCCTACAGCCCAATCCCGAAAATTCCTTCTCACCCGATCACCTCCACGCTAATCCTTGTCTTCCCGCCCCCCTACCACCCGATACCCCCTTTTCCTTTCCCCAGACAGGCGATCTCCTCTTGTTTTGGCCGCCAGCTGAGCCAGCAGCCGACCCAGGTCAATTGGCGATCTCCCTTCCCCGCATCCTTCCGCTGGACTTGCCAGCCGTTGGCTTCAGCCCAAGCCACAACTTCCCTTGGCCGACCAGCTGTTCCCAGGGAGAAATCCCGCCTCCTTTCCCATTGAATTTCGAAATTCTTGCATTAAATTTTCTTTTAATTCTTTCCTAAAATAGCGCCCTAAATTTAGGAAGAGATTTAATTGAAATCTTAGTCGTTTGAATTCAAAATTCAAATCTCCCTAATTAAATAAAATCTGAAGTTACAAATCAGATTTTAATTAATGACATGGGGCCCACTAATTAAGCAAAACTCCTCTTTCTTCCCTTGCTTGGCCGGCCCTCACACCTAGCCGTTTCTCTCTCTTTGCCACCTCATCATCTACTAATTACCCCCCTAATTTATCCCCTTAATGGCTGCCCCCTTTTAATTTGATTGAAGGAGAATTTAATGTTGAAATAACCTCTCTTTCAAGCTTAGAAAATTTGAAAATTCAAATTTCAGATTTTTTCTCTTACTCCTCTCCTAGCTCTTGGCCGAAACCCCTCCCTCGTTTCCTTCCCGCCCTGCCTCAAAGGGGGGGGGGGGGGATGTTTTGAATGGCGATCCGGAAGCTTGAGTGGGGGTAGTTTTCCGCGCCGACGGAGCATCGATATCGCTTACGCTCCCTTGCTTCGACCGTAGGATTTGAAGACGAAACTACAATCGAAAAGAGTACTTGGGAGCGAGTCGTCCCAATCCTCGCAAGTATCTTCGATCCCCGACAATTCCCGTGTTAACTTTGGACGATCATGGAGCCGATCCACGCCCATCTACACCTCCTCTCAGGTGAAATACCTTTCCGGAAACAAAGTCTTTCGTCGCCTTCAATCGTAAGTGGTGCTCCTCAATCCTCACATGGTTCTTTCTTCTCCGCTAAAAAACCCAAGAGCGAACAAGACGAGAGAGAGAAAGGCGTACTCAAGGTGAACTTCTTTATTATTAATTGTGGGATTTTTGTTATGAGCATTTAAGTGTTTCCTTTATCTTTGAATGATATGATCGGTTTGGCTAACTCAAAGCACATCTTCGCCTAAGCAAGTTAACTAATTTGAACGATTTAACCCTTTACTTTTGTTGGTAATTAAAATTTGTTATGACACGCTTTGAATAATCTTTATTTTAATTTCCGAACGCAATTCCTACATTGATTCACATCATAGCCACCATGAATGCATTTAAAATCCTCTATCTCTCTACCAATAAAAACTCACTTCAAAAATATCTTTTAAATTATATTTTCTAAGGTATTCCAAATCTGCTTGAAAAGTCATAAGCACTTATAATGTTAATAATCTTAATATCAATAATAATCTTCAAATTAATAATTCTGTCTCTAATTCGATCAATTTTTTATAATTTTATCCTTCAAAAGTCTTATCTATAATCACACATGCACCATTTCTAATAAGAATTCCATCATAATACCAAAATTTAAATCATAAACTATTAATCTCCTTAACCTTCTATCCTCTACATTTAATTTCCTGAATGCATAAAATATTTATCTTTCTATGAATCATAATATTAATTAATTATATTAATTTACTTTCTTACTATTTTAATTTTTATAATAAAAAATTATTTAAAAAAACAATAAGAAAGATGTCCCAAACAAAACCCAATGATAACTTTCTTAATTATTTTTAAAATAACTTTTTTGTACTTTTTAAATTTTTTTCTAAAAAGCTACTTTAAAAATAATAAAAAAACAATCCCAAACAAAGCTTAAGATTGCAATAGGTTAAAACCATTGTTGACAAAAAAACTTATTGAAATTGTGATGAGAACCGATCTTATTTTTTTCTTCTTGACAATGCAGAAGCTCTTGCATTTACAGCTCAACATTTTTTTAAAATAATATTTAACATAACAAAGCTGGGCAAAATTTTTGCCCAAAAAATGGGGAGGAAAGAATGAGACTGAACAAAATCTACAAAATAATAGAATAAGCTCTTGCATGGAAAATTGGTGAGGAAAGAATAAGACAGACCAAAATCAATTGAAAGTCTTAATCTCAATTTTCTTACCTGCATTATCGGAATTAGAATTAAAACTTCTTAGTTCTCCCATGACGAGAGGGCGGTCCTATTCATAAATTTTTTAGAGTGGCATGATGCATAAATATATACAAAATTCATAATAGTTTATATTGATTTATTTTTATTTTTTTCATATTGATTCACTTGATCATAAAATATTGTTCAACATTTGAGTCTCTTAATGTTATCAGAATTAAGAGAGCATTGAAATACTCTATTTGACTACACGCAAGCCAATTTTTAGAGATCATTTCTTCTTTTAATTAATATTTTAAAGTTTCCAACCATGTTTCAATTGATCTAGACTAATTTGAACTAAGATTGAACCATCTTTAGAATTGTTGGGTTCAGCCAATCAGATTGATTACAAGTTTTCTGATGTCGGATTGTTGGAGTTTGAATGATTTTGAATTTAAATTTAGAGAATGTGCATCAAGATTCGAGCATGATTAAGACAATTTTTTATATTGTATCAAATATTATCAAAGGTTTTATAGCATGCTACTTCTCAAAGAAAATACAATAAATTTTTTTTAAAAAAAAGCCAAATAAATAAACAGGCCTACCGTCACAACCCAACAGACCTGCCACTGAGAACATGCAGAATGTTAGATCTCTGAATATTACGAGGAAAGGCAAGCGGACATGAAAAAAAAAATGAGTGTGTGATTGGTAGATACTGAGGCTATTAAAAATGCATAATTATTTTTTCAATAATACAGCCATTAAACATTCAAAGAGAAGAGATTGCAAGTTTAACACTCCAGCATATAACATGATATGAGAAACTAAAGTTCAGTGCCTGCGATGGGGGGAAATTGGGTGCAAATTTTACAGTGCAAGAGCACAAAAAAATATTCTCAACTCAACTAGATTGAACAGCTCAAAGAAGTTTTTGAATATTTTAGCATTCAATAAAGAATGATATATTTTAAGCATAATAGGGATGACACATGAAAAGAGAGCAAATAGAGCAACAAGTAACAGCATTGATGCGATTTAGAACATGTTTGTCTCCGGGGTAGAGTTTAATGCCCAAATTCAAGGGTAGCATAAAGTGAATGCATTGCATTCCTAATGCATGGGGTTTTGAACTTTTGGGTGTTTGGTTGGATGAAAAGTAAATCCAAAATAAATGTAATGTATTTTATTCTAGTTCATTTTTTGATGTAAAGTGTTCTTGCTTGTTTTGGCCGAGAACAGTTTACATCGATCGCTCGCTTGCTTGACCACCCCGACGACCACTGCCGCCTCCCACAACCCGTCAGCCATCACAGACCACCGTCGGCCGCCGTCGGCCGCCGTCGACAACCGCAAGCTGTCGCCGACAACCTCCTTCAACTGCCGTCCGCCGCCCACCACCACCACCACCTAACGCCACAAGCACCACGGCCGGCCGTCACCATCCACCTCCCACAAGCGGTCACAGCCACCACCACCGCCTGCCGCCGTCCACAATCCACTGTCGGCTCACCACCACCGACCAACGTCATCAATCACCGCCAACACTGATGGCTGCCGCCCACCACCGCAGGCCGCCGGCCACCACTACCGCCCACCCTGGGCACAAACATTTCACACTTTACATTACATTCACTTTATTTCAAAGTAAACAAAAAAATGTAAATACATGCATTCCATCCAAAAAAAAGGTAAAGTCATACATTCCTTTTACACCACATTCCATTCTAAAGCAACCAAACAGCCCAACTGAAAATTTTGACACAAGTAAAAAATACATTTTAAGAAATCAAATAGCAAGTGAAGATTTTATAATAATAGTTCAAACTAAATAAACAAATAGAGGTTTCACCCTTGTATAGTAACCATAACATAAGCTCCATATCAACATCCATGATTGGCTTCAAAATTCCAATTCTTCGTACGGTCAACCAAAAACAATATTTCCAGTTGAAAAAGAACTTAAGTTTCACCAGGTACCTTGCATCAAACAAGTGGCAAGAGATAAGACCAAAATAATGACCTGAATAGGAATAAAACCCTATCAGAGTAACTATGACAATAAAGCTTCACTTGGACATAAATCCATAGCTTTTAAAAGAAATTCATCATTTAGGGCTTTATAACCAAGGACATGAAACTATATTAAAAAACTGTCAACCGGTTGGCTAATTACAAAGAATTTAAAAAGAAACGCCAAAGATACCAAAAAAGCAGCTACCATTAAATAAATTAAAAGAAAAAACATTACTAAAGATGGAAGAAAAAAGAAAGATGACATAGTTCGCCATTAATAAGTTTAAAGCAAAAGAAAATTTGAAAAATATGAAAAAGAAACTTTTTTTTTTAATTCAAGTAATACAAGAAAGATGAATAAAACTAAAACTACAGTTTTAAAAGGCTGCTAGTGATATTCAAGTAGTATAAAGTTCAAATATAATAATGATTGCTATCGAATAAACGAAAGAAATGTTTTGTCCATAATAAAATGACCGCACTTTATTTACTTGTATATGCACATAAGAAAGCCAAGGAAAAAAAAAAAATACTACTAAGTTTTAAAAAAAATGATCACAAAGATAAAACAGAAGTACATCTAGGAATAGTATAGCTTAGGAACATTATACTTAATTTGTATATGCTTTTTAGACAGTTCTAGAAACATCTATTGTTTAGTTATATAAATTTGTTGTAGAGATATATGAATGCTATTTTTTAATTTTAACAGTATTTATTGTTCTTGCACATAGAAGCTATTATTTATGATGATTTTTCATTGATCTCTTCACATCAATTGATATTAGAGTTGACTTTGGCCCTTGACGTTGATCAGAGCCGTGGGCTTCTGCTACATCAATCAGGATTTTGGATGCTTTGGAGAGATCATGGATGAAGATAGGCTATCGGCAATGTTTGAAGCCTCCACTAGCCCGCAATGGCAAAGCAATTCTCCCCCAATGGCAATCATATTGTCAGACATCTCCACGCACAATCCGCCTGTACCTGTGCTTGTACAATTCGTGTGAACTGCCACGCCGGCCGTCCCCTACCACTCGCGACAACAAGCATATGCCTTTTTTTCGCTCGACCACACCCGCGCCAGCATGCCCTATCCTACACACATATGTTCCGCTCCGACCAAAGCCAATGTTCGCATTGCTCCGACCCGTCTATGATCTTGCTTTCGCCTTCCATGCTTGCTCGTGACCTTGCTCTGGCCCGATCCAACGACCTACGTTCCACAACCCACAGCACAACCCCACCGTGCCTTTACTCTCGTCTCGCGCACAAGTTCAACCAGCAACTCCACTCCAATCCTGAGCACAAGTTCGATCCCTCTCCAGGCGCTTCAATCTTCCACCCATTTGTAACTAAATCATAAACCCCATGTATCCCTCATCAACATTAAAAAACAAACGATAGAAGGTTCCAACTCCAACAAATAAAAAAACAAAATCAAAATTCACAAACCAATCAAACAAACCAAAGTTTGAATATCGTAATTCAATATTTTTGCAGCATTGCATCAAGAAAAATGGATTAATTACGTAAAACATATTCAAGCCACCACAAATTCAAAGGGGCATGTTTCTTGAAGGTTCAAATAAGGGTGTAAATCATACAGGAATGTGCATTAAATCAACCACAAGGAATGTAACTCAAGCTGGCATGTGAGCTGGATTAACCAAAACCTGTTAATAAAATTAGCAGTCTGAGCATATGCTGAGCCAATGGGATCAAGCACAAGAAGTTGAAGTAGCATGTGCTATAAAAGGAATCAAACTTAAACTAGCTCAATTCTCATCCACAAAACAAACCCGCTTATCTTAATAAGAGGAAAATTGAAGTATAGAAAAAAAAAAAAAAACATGAATAAAACTATCTGAAATCTTCGTCATTATTATCCTTCTCAAATATCCTGATTTTATGAATCTTTCATTCATGCTTGTGTGCTGCATGTAATCTTTGGCAGTACTTTGTCAAGACTTCTAACCATATTAACTATGCTTTACCTCTTTCCAACAAAATTGCAATCACATAAATTATGCCTTTTTAGCTTTATCGATACACCTTCTAATATATAATGTTTATGTTCAAATCAATTAAGTTTATTTTCTATAGTCTTAACTTCAATAAGCACTTTTTCAATAATCAATCTAAAATTTCCATTTTGCATTTTTTCAGTCTAGTTTAACATTGCATCATAACATCCTTATTGATACAAACTCACATGCAATTTTTTTTTAATATAAAAAATTGCACCAAACTGATTCCAACTTAAATTTCCACATTCATCTTATCCCCATCAACAACTTTCCCTTCTCCTCTGCCTCTCCAGTCTTCCACCTTATCCTCATCCACCTCTTCCATCTCATCCCTCTCCTTTATTTTATCAGGTCTCTCCCATCACCAGTATCATTATCCTCATCATCACCATCATCCATCACCCCCTTGTCATCCTCTTCCTCTTCTTTTTTATTTACTTTTCAGTCAAGTTTGATCCATCATGTGATCAAAGAGGCACGATGATCCTTTAGCTCATTCTACTCTTCATCCCACCCAAGATCTTCTTCTTCTACCTCTTCCCCCTACTACTACTATTTCCTCCATTATCCTCTTCTACTATTTTATCATTCCCTTCCATCATTATCAAAATGATTGTTGCATATCCATCTTCCTCCTAGTCTCTTTTTCAAATTTATGCTTTTTTGTCATGGTTTGTACTCTTAAATATTGGATTTTTAGCCTTTTCTCCTTGTCCTATGGAAAATGGGGAGCTCTTTTGTGTCTCTAGAAGGATCATGGAGCAGCTCATTGAGCTCAACAAGTCAAGCTAAAGCATGGGCATAAATTCAAGCTCAAATCCTATCCATTGTAGTCACCTTTAGCTCAACCATGTTTTGACAGTACTCAAACTTTCTTAGAATCATAAAAATACACATATTTATGGAAGGGCGGAAAAATAATAATTCAGAATTTAATATTGCTTCCAAGCAAGCCCATTATGAAAGATTATTCCCATTCAGTATAACGTTCAACATAGAGTGATCATGATATAGGAAAGACTTATAGCCATTAGCCGATAACATTTTCACAGCCTGGACACTCGGCAAGTTTTTACATCTAAATTGACATCTTTTTCATAATGCGGCAGAAGGGAAATTGATACTATAAATCATGGAAAAGATAATCGTAGAAGCTTTTCAAAGTGAAAAACGAAGTTACTATAAATTAACTACTTACGGACAATTCAGTAAATGACAATACCTTCTTCCCAGGCCTAACAAGCCTCAATGCAACCTCTGCAGCAGTGTTTGCAGCAGAGATCACATCTGCTGCCCTTCCACTTACTGGCCCTTCTTGAAGTACATGAGTTTGTGCAACCACAGCAATAAACCCATCTATATGGCAGCCCATATCACTGAAGAACCACAATAGAAGAAAAATAACTTATGAATCCAGCCTTATTCCCTTCGCAACCTATAAAAGGAACTGCAGAAATATAAAACCACGCATAAGCAATTCTAATATCTTCACAATATCATTCTCCTCCAAAACTGCCTCACCATTCCAATATTCCACAATGGTGAAAAATGACACAGTATGGTTCACAGATATGCAAGTTGGGAAGGCAACTGCCCTTTCAATTTTTTTCTTTCAAATTCTTGTACATACTCCCAGCTTGCCCGCATTAATTAATCTCCAGATACAGCACCTTATTAACAACTCGCGTATATACATTCCTAACATTTTATGAGTTAATAAACGCGCACTCTCGAATAAAGGCATCTCGCTTCTCGCAAATGCCAACTATCTTCGCTTTGGGCTTGCACTCCGAAAGCACCAACTGAATAGCATCTGTTACATCGGCAAGCACATCGCAGCTATAAAAACTACGCCAACACATGATGAATTGCTTCTATATCACAAAACTGAACAAAGTCAGAGCATACTATTAAACGATCTCAGCCGCATTCTTGAACTTGGTCACTACATCGCAGGAAGCGAGATCCAACTCTTTCTCCTCCTTGGCCTCGTCATCCAACATCTCCACACCCAAAACTACGTTTCAAAATCAGAAAAAGAAATTCAGTTCGAAACGAAACCATAAAATTCACAAAAAACCGATAAGAGCAAATCCTTGTGAGAGATCGGTACAGGTCCAACATCTCCACACCCAAAACTACGTTTCAAAATCAGAAAAAGAAATTCAGTTCGAAACGAAACCATAAAATTCACAAAAAACCGATAAGAGCAAATCCTTGTGAGAGATCGGTACAGGCGAAATAAAATCATTTGAGAAAAGATTCGCCGTGAGCATCTTCTTAGGTTAGATAGCAAGAAAGGATCACTCTGTCCAAGTTTTTGCCCGCCGCGCAGGAGGAACAAGGCGGTGAGCGGGCTTATACAAAAATAAAAACATAGGAGGCGGAAGGTTTAGGGCAACACCATCTATCGTTTATATAGTGACGAGAAACCCGTCGCACGCGAGCTGCACGTGGGAACCCGTTGCCGCTTATGGAGTGATAATCATTAGTTTTGTTCATTGAAGCTACTTTATCTATATTAATTTGCGCATAGTACGCTTTATGAAGAGGCTTGGTTTCTAAATTGAGGTTATTTTTTTAAATTGGTCTAATTATTTATGCAAATTTTAGAGGTTTTTAGAGGTTAAGTGTAATTTGAATTAGGGGGGTAATTTAGTAGTTATGAATTGATAATGAAAATATAAGAAAAGAACAAACGAAGAATAAAATATTGGTAGATGTATATAATAATAGTTTTTTTTTTTTATTTTAGAATAAGATGTATCTTCTTATTTATATAATTTATCTTAATGTTAGAATTTCAACTTTTTTATTCTTGAGAGATTTTTCTATTTCTTATTATTTGGCTATTGATGAGTTTCTTAGAATAAATAGTTTATCACTCGTTATGACGGACATCAATAGAAAATTTAGGGAGCTATAAAATATGGGTAAGATGGTACTTCAAATTATTGTTTTTGCTTCTCAACATTTCTATTGTGACCAATTTGGCAAATGACCGGTATGAGGGAATAGTGCTTATTTTGGTTAATATACAAAGAGGTTGATGGTGTAATAATGAATATAGTTGTTTATTGGTTCTTATAACAACAATATAGAGGATGTGAAATACATGTTATGATCACATGGGGAATAGCTAGTGAGTTTATGGGCGAACATTATTATATATATGTGAAAAGAAATATCAAATGATGTTTACTCTTATCTGTCATGAGATATCGATTACTGACTAACTGTGTCAAGTTAATGGTGTGAATGACGTATATTCATTTACTTAATGACAGGTGTTCGTGTGTTGAACAACTCACTAAAAGGGAGAATAATGTAAATGTATCACATTTGGATTATTCCATGTGGAGGCGAAGAGACAAAGCACATCACAATGAGACATATTTTTTAAGTTATTTGGTTGAGAGACATCCCATTATATGGCATTTCTAGTTATCATCTTCACAAAACAATCAATGATGTCTTCTTTTGCTATTTATTTCTTTTTATTCCATCTAATTTAATTCATCATGTGTTGGAATATCTTGTTAACTTAGCTAACCATGTTAATAAGGATATGCTTCACCTCATTATTAAGGCATGGCAATCCTTTATCTCATGGCCACTCTCATGATAATGTAAGTAGAGTTCTGAGCAGCAAGGATTTCTCAGTTGGTATCATAGAGACATTGGCCATATAAATATTATTTTTTTCCTTGAATCATTAAAGAAATTATTAATTTCATTACCAATCATGGAGTATACATTATTGGCCAAAAGCATCAAAGAGACCGGGCTTCACATGACTCTTTAAAATCTCTTGTTGAATTAATCGATCAGTTTGGTTTGATCAAATGAATATGAATTCCCACTATGAAGTATAATAGTGACAAGCACTACAATGTTAGTTAAACTTTTTCCTTTTGATTAGCGTATGTTATTAGGCTATAACAACCAAAAAATAAGCCCATCAACCTCTATCAATAATACAAAAAAAAGGTAAGATCAAAACTCAAATTGAATTGAAATAAATCATGAATCAAAACTCGTTGAACTCAGTTAATTTCTGTCATACACTCATGCAGTTCATTTAATTACATATCATTCTCTTATGTAATTAATTATGGATGTAAACTAATGCACCTTAATCAACCTAGTCTATCTGACTCATAATCAATTTCCTATATCCCTGATAGATTATTAAAATAATAAATAGACAATTATTATAAATTTGATTCTAGGGCATTACAGGTGTGATGCCCTATAATCTAATTTAGCAAAATTATTCATTTATCTTTTAATAAACAACATCCAAAAATATCTAATATTATCTATCAATAATAAACAACAAAAAATATTTTATAATTCAAAATATCAATGTACATATTTGTATTCATTCCCAAAAATTGTATTCATCCAAAATATATTTCATAATCAATTTCCTATATCCCTGATAGATTATTAAAATAATAAATAGACAATTATTATAAATTTGATTCTAGGGCATTACAGGTGTGATGCCCTATAATCTAATTTAACAAAATTATTCATTTATCTTTTAATAAACAACATCCATAAATAACTAATATTATATATCAATAATAAACAACAAAATATATTTTATAATTCAAAATATCAATGTACATATTTGTATTCATTCCCAAAAATTGTATACAATACTCATGATACATATAATCATCACATATCTATCATGACATGCGTACAAAAGAATAACTAAAAAAAAAAACATGAACATGAAGGAATCCTGACTAGCCTTATACTCCTGATCTTCTGCCTTACCACATATAATGAGTTAAAAAGTCAAGCAGATCACTAAAACTTACAAATGAATTTAAAATAAGATAAATGAGCAATATACATATCAACAATCAAATCATAACAAATAGCATTCATATGATTATTGAATAAATGAAAAAATAGTTAAATTGTCGGCACAAAAGACAATAAATAAGTACGAGTGTTAAATTATTAAAGCAATTATCATATCAATATTATAATTAATAAGAAATTTGTATAGAGCTATAAAATTAAGTCATTAATAAAGACTCTCGAAATCAAATCAATTTACTAAAATTATATGAGAGTGTACACATGTTATTTATTTATTTTATATCAATATTAAATCATCATCTCAATCACATGCTCATATATATCTTGTATATTACGTGCTTAATATGTATATATCATGATTTTTGTATAAATAAATCAGTAACAATATTGATGTTAAATATGTACAATAATATGAACAATACCCTAATAACATTCATTTCAGTTGTCACACAAAATAAGTAAGATTTTGACTGTCACGGAGTTTTTAAATATCAGTAAATCATTGGCTCCATAAATAAAGTCTTCATTATTTGCTTGTTGGCACCGTAATTATCCCTTTATAACCCCAATTAGTGTATCACGTGAATCATTAGAGAATAACACCAAATTATAATATTTAAATGAAAGTTCATTGGCTCACCATCATATACATGTCAATCAGTATCCATCCAATAGGGTCAACCACTCTTTACTTGTCTTTTACATATATATTATTATAATAATATTATAACCGTAACATTAATCACTTATCAGCATTCATTTTTAATGACTTGCAGTAAATAAAATATAATTGAGCTTAATTTAAAAAATCACTACAGGAAAAACAGCCAATACCGGTGGCCTTGACCGGCGGTTATATGGCCGCCGGTAATACCGACGATTTGGCCGGCGGTTTGGCCACCGGTTAATACCGGCGGCTTAACTGGTGGTTTTTTAGGTTTATACCGCCGGTAATAGCGGCGGTCGTTTAACCGCTAGACATTAAAAATACCGGCGGCTTTCCGGCTGCATAGACCGTCGCTGTTAAGTAAAGTCAATACCGGCGGCCCTGACCGCCAGAAAGCCGCCGGTACATGCCCTAAAATTTACAGACCCGAGCTTCCCATCTCATTTCTAATTTTCCCTTCTCTTGCTTCGGACGAGCTCTGCGCGTCGCCTCCGCCCGCCTCTTCGCTCGAGCTCGACGATTTCTCTCCGGCCGCCGACCCCACACCGGTCGCCATCGAAGCTTGCCGCCGTCGATCTCACACCGGCCGCCCTAGGGTTTGTGGGAGTTGAAGAAAATCCGGGATTTGAAGGTAAACTTGAAATTTTTCCTGTGATTTTTTGTTCTCACTAGACATTTGCAAGAGTTTATTATATAGTGTATGATTTAGGTTGTAATCTAGACATTTGCAATAGGTAATTTTGTAATCAATTGAATTTTTTAAGTGTAATTTTAGCAATAATAGATCTAATGGGTTGATTGTGACTTTGGGTGAGAGCAAGATAGCAAGAGAGAGATTGAGAGAGAGAGAGAGAGAGAGAGGTAGAGAAAAGGCAGTGAGAGAGGGAGATAGAGAGAGATAGAGAGAGAGAGAGAGAGAGAGAGAGAGAGCAAGAGAGAGAGCTATAAAGAGGGAGAGAGATATAGAGAGAGAAAGAGAGCAAGCAAGTGTAAGAGAGAGCAAGAGAGAGGGAGAGTGAGAGAGAGAGAGAAAAGAAAGAGAGGAAAAAGAGAGAGAGTGAGAGAGAAAAGAGAGAGAGGGGGAGAGAGAGAGAGCAAGAGAGATAGATAGATAGATAGAGAGAGAGCAAGAGAGAGAGCTAGAAAGAGGGATAGAGATATAGAGAGAGAAAGAGAGCAAACAAGTGTAAAAGAAAGCAAGAGAGAGGGAGAGTGAGAGAGAGAGAGAGAGATAGAAATTAACATCTTAAGTAGGCCCTGATCGCCGGTGTTACCATCTAAACCGCTTGTATTTGCTGTTTTTCCTGTAGTGAATGTCAAAATGTCCAACGGAAGACAACAAAAATTATACTAAGCAAAAAATTTATATTTTAAGAATTTAATCAAATTACCAAATATTGTATAAAATAATATCATGAAACTTTAGTTAAACTAAATCACTATTTTTAAATGTTAAAATAAATTCCTAACTAGACAAAAATTGCTGTATTTTTAAAATCACCCGATGAAAAATCTCAAATATAAAATTAAAATATTCATAATATCAATCTTTATAATATATAAAAAATTACGTAGTGAAAGTTTTAAAAATTCAATTTATTCTCATTTTTTGGTAACAGAAACATAAATTTGATCAAAAAATATCAAATAATAGAAAACCTTTGAAAACATAAATATGATAAATATTCTTTATAACGAGACGAGCAAATCTCCCAATTTGACCTACTAACAAAAATCATATGAAATTCCTTCTCTCCATTTCTCTGTTAGCCATTAGCCTTTAATAAAAAAATTTAAGTTGGTTAAGATATTTTAATAATAGAATAATATAATATTATTGTAATTATATAAT